TAATTACTTTATTTTATCATCTGAAATATTTTCCTTACTAGGTGTTAGATTGATTTCAAAAAGTAATTAATTAATTAATTAATTATGATATTTAAGATAATAAATTTAAATTATTACTTGAGATTTAATACTAAAGATTCTAATTTTTAACATTATACTAAAGTATTGTTAAGTTAAGCAACTTATTGTTTACTAAGAATACAATTTCTATTTATTTTATTAATAATAACAAAGAATTTAATCTATGAATAAATTATGAATGAATGAATCAAATAGATTAAATTTTATTTATTCTTAATTTTGTAATAAAAAAGAAAAAAATTAAAAAAATTTATTTATAAAAAATTTATGATTAAATATGAATTAATGAATAAATATTTATATTTATATATTTCATACTTTAACTGTAAGTCAATATGAGTTAGAGCTTTCAAGTTAGATTTCATTAACTGTTTATTTAAAAAAAAGATTTTATAATAATAAATAAAATTAATAATGATGGATACATCTTCTAAAATATTTTAAGAGTTATTCTATTACTCCATTTTTTTTTATTTATTTACCATTTTTATTTCTTTGATTTTTAATAAATTAATTAATTATGATCAGAAAGAAATTAATAATTTTGTTAAATTAAAAAAAATTATTGATTTTCTTTTTTAATTATTCTTATTTAATTTGTACCATTCTAAAAATATATATTAATAAATCAGTTTCCTTATATATTCTCCTTTCATTAAGATATAAATAGTAAATACTGTAATTTAAAATCATATTTAAAAAAAGTCAAGGAATTTTTTTATTCCACTGACAATGCGTTGCCAATATCTATTATATGTTTTTAATTTAAAAAATAACCATATTTATTAAATAGATTTTTAAGATAAATTTTGAAATTAATTTTAATATTTTAAAATAATAATATAATAAAAACTAAATTTTATAAATTAATTTAATTTTAAACAATTAAATAATCAATTTACTACATAGAACATTTAATTTATAAAATTTTATTCTATCTTAAAATTTTACATTCATAGAGTAGTAATTTTTTTCTTTTGTATTTAGATACTTAAAATTATCTATTTTATTTATTTATTCAATTTCAGCATTTAATTTGAATTTACCTAAAATATTATTGGATAAAATCGTTTTCATATAGAAGATTAATGTGGAATAGGGTAAAAATTCTCATAGAACTCTTTAATTAATCTCTTAACCAGCAAAAGAGATAAACCCATCCAATTAAAAATACAATGCAGATAATAATTATTTAAAAAAGGAGTAAATAAAGCAATCTTTATTTCAGTAGTTATTAATTATTTTGCAATTGATCATTTTAATATTGTTTAATTCCATTAACAATTTCCGAAATTACTTGAATTAGCTATTTAAATTCAATAAATGAATAAGAATATTATGATTAAGCAAAATGATCAATTAATTCATTCATGTCTTCGATTGAATACATTTCATACATCTCTTAAAATGTTTAAAAAACCATTTAAATTGAAAATATTAAGCCTTTTTATAGGATTCCTTTATACAAGCTGTTGCATTACAACTCCGTTATGTTGGAATTAAAATATTAAGGATAATTTTTTCTCACATCGCAGACATTTTGTTTTAACAGATTCAAATAAAAGTTTTTATACATTGCTTAATCATTTATTGTTATTCCTACTTCTACAACTAAATTTTAGATATATTAATTGTAATTTTAGTTTTAGCTTTAAATAATTGACAAATATTCATATTAGAGAGATTTTTATGGATGTAATTATTTAGATATTAGAAAAACTTATTCCATATGAGATGAGAAATTTTAAATTATCAAAGAGAAAATATCAATTAAAGAAATCTTAACTTTTAGTGTGTGCTAAGATTCTTTTTCAAAGGGATCAAATGCAATTAAATTAATAATAGGTATTACTAGCAGTAGTAATAAAACTATAATTCCTAAAAAAAGTAATATTAAATTTAGTTTCGGTATGCTGCTGAATGATGCAATTTTTCTTTTTCGCTTATTTTGCTATCTTTGAATTTAATTTGGAGCTGGATTATGATGTCTGATCTCTTGCAATTAAGCTTCTTTGCTTTCTATATTTGAATATAAGCATAGATCTCTTACTTGTTAAATTTGTTTTTATTTAATGGAATTTCGATTCTTAATTTATGCTTTATTGTCACAAGTTTGGTTTTCTAAGATTTTCATTTAGTCAGTTTTTTGTAGATTTATTTCAATTTATTTGATCTTAGACTCTATTACAGATGGAGAAAATGTACCAAAGAGCTTTAAAATATTTTGCTTTTAAACTTGAATAATGCAATTTAGAGGTAAAATCGATAATATTAGCAAAGAGCTAATTGTTGAAAATAACATAATTGTAAATATTTGGTAGTAATCCATAATTTCGAATTTGTTTTAAGCATGGTTTTCAACAATTAGTTGCAGATCTTTCATTTTTTGCTTGAAGTTTATGATATTTCCCCATATAAAATCTTCTTGAGAATCTTCATAATTCAAATAATAAAACACAATTTATTGTAAAAGCTACTTTAATGCAGCTTATAAACTTGTTTCATAAGTGAAGAAATTATTTTTTTATTATATATAATTTTCATCTTTTGCTCTTTTAATGTGAACTTTAAACTAATTTTTTTGCAATTCATCAAGTTATTCATCATTGTTGTTTGTCAGGATAAGTCTTTCCAACTTTAACTTGTAGTCTTATATTAATAGATATTGCTGATAATTAATTTGACTAGATTCATATTTTTAAAGATCGTTACTGTCAATGATTAAATATTTATTCTTTTCAAGAATAGTACCATATCTGTATAGCGAAATGAAATTCAAAGGGTCTATAAAGCAAAATAGAGCATCATCTATTTCTAAGAATGATTTGGCAAAAGAATTTAAATTTTATAAATTTTGAATGTAAATGACAAAAGAAACAATAATTAGAATGAGAAAAGCTGCAATTCCTGTGAAAGCCATTAACTTTAATCCAAAAGTAAATTCATTTTTTTTTACTCGTTTTATCATTTTCCTTTTCATCATTTATTCAGCGCTATGTTTACTACTAGAATTTATGCTAGATATTTCGTTTTATTTATTTTGTTAAAATTATTCTTTTTCTCTCCAGTTTATATTACTTGTTAAATTTGATGATGAATGTGAGCTTTAGTTGTCTGATTAGTTTATTTTATTCGGAGAATTATTTTAGATATTCTCTAAATTGTCTTTGCTTTGATAGCTAGAAATTTTATTTGATGCAATTGGCTCAATAATATGTATTTATTTTGTTTTATTAGGTAAAAATGTAAAGTGTCTTTGTTAATTTGTCTGATTTATTTGTATTTATAATCTATCTAGGCTAATTACACTAGGAGACAAAATTGTTTCTACTTACTCAACTGCATTCGTGGAAATTTTATAAGATTAATTTTGTGTTAATAACTATTAATCATAATTGAAATAATTTCCATTTTGATTTAATTATCTTTTTTCATTGTGCTACTGCTGATAATTTTTTAAATTTTACGAATCACAACTTCCATTACTATTCTGATGTAGAGAAAGTTTCTATTCGACACTATCATTTTGAAATTGTTGTTATTAATAACTTCTAAGAGAATTTTTTTCATACTCTTTGTTTTTAAACGCATTAAAATCTTAATTTTCAAAGATTTAAGAAAACTCTTTTGATGAAAAAAATTGAGAATTGGTGAAATTTGCATTTTATTATAATTATATTTTTTCCTAGTTCAAGGATTCTTTCATTTCCTTTAATCTATTAAGTTGTTCAAAGATTAAATTTTTTTAAACATAGTCAGTTATTTATGAGTAAAAATCAATTTCAATCAAATTAATATTGATTTTATTTTTTATAGAATGGCTTAATAACCTAAACTGAATATGAAAAACTTAATTATTCTAACAAAACATATTACTATTATTGTTAGTTTTTAAGGATTAATATAAACTTTCTGATAATAGTGTTTAGCTTTTGTCTGACTAAGGTTTTTTAATTACTAAAACAGAATTTAAGTGTTAATTTAACTACTAAGTCTAAAATAAATCTTCTAAAGTAGGAATCAGATCAAATATGTTTAATTGAGATCCTAATTAATAATAGAATTATTATAAATAAGTTAATAGATTAAATTATTTATTAATAAAAAATAAAGCATAAATAAATTAATTAATATCTTTATTACCGTTTTTATATCCTAGAGGTTAAAAAATATCTAAAAATATTTTCCTTGAAAAATCAGTGATTTTTCCTTCATTTTCAAAAAATATGTAAGAAAAATATTGTTTCTTTTTTTGAATGAGAGCACAGACTCCAAAATCGTTTTCAAAAGCTTCTATTTTTATTCTCAAATCAATAGGAAAAACAAATTCTTCATTATCTAAACCAAATATATTTCTATTTCCTTTTTGTATTTATTTCATGAAAGTCAAGCAACTTAAAAATAAATAAAAAATAAAAGAATATTATATATATATTTGCAGTTTTTCAAAATTTTAACACTGTAAAATGTCATTTTATTAGTATAAATTAAATAAAGATTTAAAACTATTTATCAACCTATATAAATTAAAAATTAAAAAATTGAAATTTTTGAGAATTTGTTAAATACCTAAATTTATGATAGCCATCTATTCATCATCAACAAAATGTTAGATTATTTAATCGTGATGTTTTTTCAGCATATTTGGTATTAAAGTATTCAGTTCTTTGCCATGAATAAATTCAGAACTGTATCCAAACATATTTTAAAATAATTTAGAAGTCTATTTAATCACATATTTCTTTTCTATCAAAGATGTAAATATGACAGATATTTTTTCTGATTGCTAATTGATTAAATTTAGTTTTTTATATTTATTATTCTTTTATTAATTTAGATTTTAAGCAGCATCTTGAAATTCTTTTATACTTCTATTTTAGAAGCCAAAAATTGAAATGAAAATGTAGGCTAGAAATTCAAGATCCGAATCATAAGGATTTATTTAAAATAACTCAATAAAAGTTTATTCTAAATCTTCCTTCTGATTTAATATTGGAGCATACATTTCTTATAATTATTACAAATTAATAAAGTCTCCACTAAGAAAATCGTAAAAATTGCCAATTTAAAGTAAAACTTTTCTTAATTTTTCTTTGCAATCGTTTATTTTATCAGCAAATATAATAACATCCATCATATTTAAATTCTAATTTTCAATCTTAGAGTAAGTCAATTTACTTTATTTATCTTTTAGAATTTATCTCTTAAGTTGCTAAAAGCAAAATAGCTAAGTCGAACCAACAGAATTTCTTTAATTTGCTAATTCATTTGAAATTTAAAAAAGGCTTACAAAACATTTTGTTGGATTATTTATTATTTCGTGAAGATAGCTTAACTGTGATAATTTTAATTCGTTAAGAATTTATTAGGGTTTTTATATTCTCTTTATTTAAATATGCTATTCTAATAAGTGATGTGTTACTCTCTGAACATATTCCTGCCTAAAATGCAAATAAGACATTTCTTTTATTTGCAAACAATCATTTTTCTCCTTTATTTTAAAATATTTTATAAATTCAAATAGCTAAAAAATTAATTTCAAGCAATAAAAAAAAGCATTTAAAAAATAAAAATTTTCTTTTTATCTTCATTTTGAATTTTTTAATAAATATTAATAATTCTAATTTAGTAAATTCAATAATTGAAGTCTAAATAGAATTTATTTAAATAAAAGTAATTTATTTATTTATTTATTTATTTGTTTGGTTGTTTATTTATTTATTTATTACGTGTTTTCTGTATTTATAGCAAAAACAAGATTGATAGTGATCTTCACAATTCTATTCATGGATTTATATGATCGTTTCGTAATTGATTCCTTGTCCTCTATTTAGGTAGCTTTCCTAGCTTAAAAGCGATTAATTTAATAGCAATCTTATAATTTTTAAGAATTTTGAGTCACTACACTTCAAAAGCTCCTTTTAATTTTAAAACTTTTCAAATAAACTTTCATTTTCTTTTTCTTTGTAATTTTTGATTAATTTAATAGACAAAGGCACTGTGATTATGCAAGCAATAAACACTTCAGTATCATTGAAAATATATATTTGTAACACAATACAAAGAGAAACTTGAAAAGAGAAAGCAATTAAATAACAATAGATTTTGTTAATAAAGCTTGATAAATAGTAATCATTGATTAATAAAAAATTAATCTCAACTAAAAAATACAGTAAGGAGTAGATGGCAACAAATCTATGATCTTAAAATTAATAAAGAAATATTAAAATAGTTCTCAAGCATAATAAGAATAATTTTAATTTGTTTGGTCGTTTAGATAGATAGTTTTCTGATTCTTGGAACGAGTAGCTAAAATTGTGGATCTCCAAAAAATATCCTAAAATATTATTAAAAAAGATTTTTAATAATTGATCAATTAAATTGCATATATTATTAATGTGTTTATTTATTAATTAATTAGAACTTTGATAAATGAAGTCATTGTTAAATGATAAATAGTAATGGATTTAACCAATGTTTTAAAAGCTTTTATTCAATCATTTTAATTAAAATTTTATAGAAGTTGAAATTTAAAAGCAAACAAACAATCATGAAATTTACCTATGAGTAGAGTAAGTATAAGATTTAAATAGGATAATGTTACTATATAAATAGAGTACATTGAGGTGTTCTATGATAGAATAAAGGCAGAGACGTTAAGAAATACGTAAAAAGGCCAATAGTTGTAGAAGGTTGTGTAAAAAAAACAGCAATTTGTCAAGTATTTTACCAGTTTTAACTTTTTAGAATTATATACAATAACCAGAGCGAATATAAAGAAGCTATTAAGTAAAGATGAAACAAGAACTAGTAATTTTAAGTAAAATCTCTCAGGTTAAAAGTAGTCATTAATTAATGGTATAACTTAAAAATAAGTGATGAGATTTGACAATTTATTCATTTTATTGTATTGGATCGTCTCTGGTAATTATGATAAATTATTCTAATTATTCTTAGATACGAATGAAAGCACAGTAATACTGTTAATTATAACCATGGAAATCGATAAATTCTTACTCAGTTTGACAGGATAGATAAGTTTAATCATATCATTAAAGTAAAATTATTTTACCCGAGTGAAAAAATTGCTTTAGGATTTCAGCTGAGCTTTCTTAGTTATCATTTAAATTTTTAGGTATTAAAGAGTTTATTTTATTTTTATTATTAACTTTATTTTTTGATTGATATGATAATTTCTGAATATAAATAAATAAAACTAGTAAGTAAGTATGTAAGTATATACCATAATATCATACATTTTTTGAGTCAGTAGCTTATATTTTTTAAATGTAATTTATAATCCCTTATTAATATATATATTTTATTTCCTCTAATAGACTCAAATCGGTTTAGTTTTTGTTACCTTTTTCATTTATAGAGATTAAGTTATTAATTAGATTAATACTTTATAAATTTAAAATACATCTAAAACTTTTAAAGCAAAAATTAAAAACCAGTTTTACGAAAAATAATACTTACTATTTATTTTATTTGATAAATTATTTTAATTTTTAGATAATTGTTTTTAATTTCTTTAAATAAATCTAAAAATAGAAGAAAATCTATTCAATTCTATCTGATAAAAAAATTAGATTCTTATGAGAAGTAAATTAAATCTTTTATAAAGATTTTTACTTTTTTGTACTATCTATCAGGTTCTAAAAATATATGAAAGCATTTTTTTATTTCTTTTCAATTTTGTTTATTTTATAAAATTATTTTTTGCTAAATACTTGTTTCCTGCTCGCTCGCTCGATCAATAATTATCAGAGGATAGCTATATTAAGAATAAAATATATTAGAGGGTTGTTATTGATTAAGTATATGAGAAAAATGGTTTCGATTAAATATATTAGAAAAGTGGTTGGTTCAGATTAAATATACTAGAAAAGTGGTATCGATTAAATATAATGTATTATCAATAATTTAATAGTCAAGTGTCAAAATTAAAGATTTCATCCAGATTTTTATTTATATTCAATAGAAAAAATACTAAAAATAGTAAATTTAATCTAATTATAACAAATTAAGATTCTGATAAAAATATTAATTCATTTAAAAAAGAATTTTATGAATTTTTACATTAGGGTTATATAGCTAATTTATTTTTATTAAATATATAAAAATATATAAAAAGTATAATTAACTTATTAGTACTAATGTTTTTCTAAAAGGTATGAAGGAAGGAAGAGCTTGTTAAAAGCTTTTGATTTTATAAATATTAAAATGATAGATATTTTAAAATACTTTAATTTAAAAGACTTAAAATCGCTAAAACTATTTTTCAAATTAAAAACATATTATTTTTTTTTAATTTAAAAAATGATTTTTTAAGATTTAATAAAATAAAATACATCAATTTAGTTAATACATTTCATTCAAATACAATTACTTTACTTTAAATTTTGTCCAATTTTTAATTTTAATAACATGTAATTACTTTAATGCCTGAAATTTATTTATCTTAAAAGTATTTTGAAATATTTAATAATATTCATTTCTCAATTCTTATTTGTTTAAAATATTGTTAGATGAATTAATTTTCATAGAGAAGATTTATGTGGAACAATTTAAAAATTTTTATTACATTTCCAAGTTAATCTTTAAACCAGTAAAAGAGGTATACCCATCCTATTAAAAACACTATGATAAAAATTATTAATTGAGTAACAAAGAAGTACAGCAAATTTTATTTCACTTAGCTTTCATATTATTGTAGCTAGTCATTCTAATACTATCTAATTCCATTAACTACTTCTGAAATTACCTGAATCAGCTATTTAAATTGAATTATAGAATACTAATTTTGAAAGTCAACCAATTAATTAGTAACTTCATTGATATCTTAATATGAATAAATCTGATACAATTCTTAAAATGTTTAAAACACCTTTTAAACTGAAAATATTAATCCTCTTTATAATATTCCATTAAATATGTTGCTGCAGTTTGATTCAGTTATATTAGAGTTAAAATACTAAGGATAATTTGATCTCACTTGGCACACATTTGAATTTAGCAGGTTTTTATAAAAATCCACATATAAACCTTAATTATTTCTTTTTATATCTAAATCAATAGTTAGGTCTTAAAGGTTTTAAAATGATTTTTGATTATTATTTTAGAGATCTTATAAGTAGGTTTGATAATAAGAAGTTGAAGGAGATATGCCTATTAAGATTAGATATATTTATTCCATATGAGCGCTAAAGTTTTCAATAGTTAGTGAATAAACATCGATCAAGGAAATTCTATCTTTTAAAGTGACTTTGGATTCTGCTTCAAACTTATTAAATACAACAAGATTTAAAATAGGCATGACTAAAAGTAGCACTACAGCAACTATCCCAAATAAAAACAAGACTAAGTTAAATTTCTTTATACTACTAAAAGATGCTATTTACCTGTTGCGTCTATCTAGCTATCTTTGAATATATCTATGAACTTAATTGTTTAAATTCTTTTCATATTTTTAAGCTTATTCACTCAGTAAATTTGAATTGAACTTAAGATTTTTAATTTATGGTATTTGCTTTTACTAATTTTAAGCGCTTTTAAATACATCATTACTGTTATTAGTTTATTCTAAGACATTGAATTATTCAATTTTGTGAAGACCAAGTTCAATTTATTCGATTTAAAACTCAATTGAAGATGGAGAAAATGTGCCAAAAAGTTTTAAAATCTTTTCCTTTTAGGATTAAATCAAAATATTTAGAGGCAAAATTGAAGAAATAAGGACAGCGTTTATAGTTGCAAACAAGATGATTGCAAATGTTTAATACAAATTCATGTTATTAAATTAGTCTTGGGCATAATTTTCAACAATTTGTTGTAAATTTTTCATTCGTTGTTTAAAGTTGTAGATGTTTCCCCAAATAAAACCTTCTTGCTATTCCTCATAATTGATATAATAAAATACAATTTCATAGAAAAACTCCATTAAGGTGTATTATAAACTTTATTTGAAAGTAATGGTGGAATTTTATTTAAATCCATCGCCTTTCTAAAACCCAGCTTCGTAAATTTAAACTTAAAACATATTTTTTTATAATTCATCGAGCTAATCTCCACTGTCATTATTTAAAACAAGCTTTTGTAAGTTTAGATTATAATCTTATAATGTTCTTTACTGCTAAAAGTAAATCTGATTAAATTCGTAATTTTAAAGGTCTAAGCTGTCTATTATGAAGAATTAGCCATATCCTAGTAGATTTTAAAAGTTAATTAGCCCAACAAAATTCATAACATCTATAAAGCAAAATATAGCACCATCAATTTTCAAAAAAGACTGGACAAATGAATCTAAGCTTTTTAAATTCTGAATGTAAATGATTAAAGATACAATACTGAGAATAGTAAAAGCTCCAACTCCTGTGAAAGTTATTAATTACAATCCATTGGAATATTTTGCTTTTTTAATTCTTTATATCATTTTCTTTTTCAATATTTCCTCAGTGCTGAACTTACTAGAATTGACACTAGCGATTTCGTTTTTTAATTCTTGTTTCATTTCTTCTTTTTCTTTAAAATATTTTTTTGTTTATTCTCTATTTAGATTTTATAACTCTTCACTGAGAATTTATTCTTCTAAAAATGGATGATCTATGCTATTTATTATATTTTTATTTTTATTTTAAATTACATTTGATTGATTTTTTATGATAAATTTGTTAGATGCATTATTAGATGAAATTTCTTAGAGATTCTGTTTTAGTGATTAAATATTTTAAGCAGGCAAAAAAATGATATCTTGTTACTCGTTTGATTAGTTAATCAGAATCTGTTATCTTTCTTAACTTAGAATCGTTGGAGACAAAATTTCTTAGAGATTCTAACTAAATGATTAAAAATTTTAAGTCGGCATAAAAACAATATCTTGTTACTCGTTTGATTTGTTTATCAGAAACTGTAGTCTATCTTGACTAACAATCGTTGGAGACGAAATTATTTCTGGTTATTCAAATGTATTTGATGGTATCCCTCTAGGGTAATTTTAAAATTATATTTCAATGCTCTGTTTATCAAGATTTCCATTTTAACTTAGACATTTTAATTCTAAATAAGTTTTTTGAGATTAATTTTCAGTGTTTTTGAAGAAATTTATTTCTTGAAACATTTTTTAATTTAAACTATTATTTTAACTTTGAGATTCTTAGATTTCTACTAAATTTGGATTTAGATCTATCTTATTTGCTATATTTTTTTTAATTGTTTGACATTTTTAAAAGTTTCTTAAATGATTTTTTTCATTTTCTTTGTTTTTGATTTAATTTTAGTCTTAATTCTCAAATAATTATGAGAATTCCCTTGTAGAAAAATACTGTTGCTACATAGATTTCATATATTCTGTAGTTTATTAACTCTAGACCATTTTTTGAAAATCTTGTTATTATTTCAAAGCTTATTATTTATTTAACTAATCTAAAATAATATCTTTTTTAATTTGGTCTGTTTCTTTTTGGTAATAATCTATTTCTATTAAATTAATATTGACTTTTTTCTTTGTGATAAGTCTTAAAAACCTGAATTTAATATGAAAAATTTCGCTGCTTTGTGAGAAAAGATTATTATTATTTTTAGGTGATTAAATAGGCTTTTCATGAGAATCTGATTTTGTATTTTTGAAAATTGTTGGTTGTTTTACTGCCATAATCGTACTTACTTATATGTTTGACTACTGAGTCTTAATTAATTCTTCTAATGAAGGAATCAGATCAAATATATTTATTTGTCGCTCTTTTAAATTATTTGTTTGTTATTTAATAAAGAATTAACTTCAAATATTTTACCTGATTTAAAAACAGGAGTTTAAAATATGTCTAAAAAAATTTTCTTTGAAAAATCAGTGATTATTCCTTCATCTTCAAAAAATATATATGAAAAATGTTATTATTTTTTCTAAATGAGAGCACAAACACCTAAATCATTTTCTAAAAGTTGTAATTTAATTCTCAAACTAATTGGAAAAACAAATCCCCTATCATCCAGACCAAAAACATTTCTCTCACCTTTATTAATTAAATTTATTTATTTTATTATAAAATAGTAAAAAATAAAATAAAATGTTTAAAACTTTTCATAAAATTTTAAATTTTCTTTAACCAGAATGAATTTATCTCGAAATCTTTTATTAAGATTTGATTTATTAAAAAATAAAAATTATCAAATTTTTAATATAATTTAAAAAATCAGAACTATTAGTTAGTAAGTATGTATGTATGTATGTATGTATGTAATATGCGGAAATTAATAAATGCAAATATAATTCTAAAAATAATACCTAAATTGATAATATCCATAGATTATTCATTGATAAATGACTGAATCATTAAATTATGATGCTTTTTGAGCAGATTTGGTATTAAAGTGTTTAGTTGCTTTCCTTGAATATTTTCAGAAGTGAACCCAAACGTTTTTTCGAATATTTTAGATGTTTTTTTAACAATAAACTCTTTTTCTATTAGCGACATATATAATAGGCATGATTTTTCTGCTTTTTAATAGATTTAGTTCTGTCTTTTTTATTAACCATTCTTCTACTAAGAAATATCAAAAGCATCTTCTTGGAATTCTTTGATTTTTCTATTTTAGAAGTCCAAAATTGATGTAAAAATACATGTTAGATATTAAAGATCAAAGTTTAAAGCATTTATTTAAAATAATTCTTTTAAATTTTATTCTAAATCTTCATTTAAAGTAATTATGGGAAGAGACATATTCTACACTTAATATAAATCAATAAAGTGCCCACTTAAGAAATCATAAAATTGACCAATTTAAAGCATAGCTCTTTTTAATTTTTCATTACAGTCATTTATTTTATCATTAAATACAATGACTTCCATCATTTTTAGCTTTTAATTTTCTATATTTGAGTCAAATAACTTTATTTAGTAATCATTCAAAATTTAAAGCTTTAGTTGCTCAAAGTAAAATAGTTAAATCAAACTAGTTTGATTCTTTTCATTTAGATAAATATTTGCAATTTATTAAAGATTTACAAGAACCCTAGTGGGATCGTTAATTACTTGATAAAGATAGTTCAAATAAGATAATTATAATTTCTAAATGCTTTCTTTTTAGTTACTTTTTTGCTTGTTTTAGATATAAACTTCAAATAATTGTAAAATAACTCTTTAAGCATAATCCTATCTTGAATGACTTTATGAAAATTCTTCTATTTGCAAAGAATTAATTTTCTCCTATTTAAAAAATAATAAATTAAAAATGTAAAAAATTAGGTAAGTAGGTAGTTAATTAATTAATTAATTATTAAAAAGAAGATTGAAATTTTAATGAAATTTAGTCTTTATTCAACATTAATCAAAGTAATTCTTTTTGTAATTTTAATAAAAACAAACCTTTATGCAGTTCTAATCAAAATAAATATTCTTGAATATTAAAATGTAAATAAATAAATATCTAAAAAATTATTTTTTTATTTCAAAAAATTAATAAAAGAAAATATTTTACAATCGTATTCTTATATTTATAGCAAAAACAAGATTGATCTTTATATTCACATCTAGCTTCATGAATTTATATTAATGTTTCATAGTTAATTCCTTTTTTTCTATTTAATTAGCTTTCTTAGCTTGAAATTGATTAATCAATGAATATTTTTATAATTTTTAAGAATTTGGAATTATTGCATCCAAAAAGCTCTCTCTCACTTGTAAATTAAAAGAATAAACTTTAATCATAATATTCTTTGTATTTTACTATAATTTGAATTGTTAAAGGGACTGTGATTATGCAAGCAAAAATTACATCTGTGTTTGGAAAGATGTATATTTCAATCAAAATACAAAGAGAAATTTGTAGTGAAGAAGCGCATAAATAGCAGTAAATTTTGTTGATATATTTAGATAAGTAATGATCTTCGAATAATAATAAAGTAACCTCAATGAAAAAGTAAAAAAAAGAGAAAACAGCTAGTAAGTTGTGGACTTAAAATTAATATAAAAATATTAAAATTGTTCTCAAAAACATTAAAAATAATTTGTATTGATTTGATTATTTCGCCAGATAGTTTTGTGACTCTATAAATGAGTAGCTGAAATCATGAATCTCTAGAAAATATCCTAATAAATTCAAAAAGAGGTTTTGCTTATTACAATAAAAACTCTAAATTAATTTAAAAAATGTAATTTATGAATGTGATTTATTAAGATAATGAATGTTAGGTTTTATCATAATCTGATTATCTAATTTTATGGATATAAATTAAAGTTCATTTAAAAAATCAAAGTAGCAAAACATATTAAATTTATTTATATACCTATTAGTAGAGTAGAAGCAGCATTTAAATATGATATGATCACAATATAAGTTGAATATGTTTAGTTTTTCTATGAAATAACATTTAGTGAGATGTTAAGAAACACATAAAAAGACCATTTGTTGTAGATTGTTGTGTAAAATAGGAAATAAGGCTTGAAGTATTTTTTTATTTTAAATTTCCTAATCGCTTAATCAAAAATAATATTTAGGATATACGATGCATTTAAGACAAACGAAATAATAGCCAATGAAACTTCATAAGAGTGCAACTATGGAGTAAAATAATCATTAAGCAATGGAATAACTTAGAGATATTTGATAAAGTTGGACACATCATACACTCTTTTTTATTATATTGTCTGCGTTTACTGCGATGAATCTATTCTCTCATTTTTATATATAAACGAAAGCAAAGTAAGATTATTTATTATAACAATTAAAATCGACACATTTATGCTAAGTTTTAAAGGATGAATCAGCTTAACCATATCATTAATATAAAATTATTTTATACGCCTGAAACAATTAAATCTTAAATTTGTTAAAGAATCGCTTTATAAAGCTTGCTTAAACTTCTTACTTCTCATTTTACTTACTTATTTATTAAAATTATGATTTATTTGTATTTTTTCTTTAATCTTTTTTTTCTTAATCTTATTTTTCAAGCAAATATATCTACCAATTTTTGAAATCACCTTAATAAATGTTAAGCCAGTTTTTAATAATTCAGAATGATTAATTTATCTATAACTTTAAAGAGAAGTTTTTCCATTATTAAATTAGATTAAGTAATTCAAATATACATATGGAATAGATTTTATAATTTTCTTTTAACTTTCTTAAATTCCATGCTTATTCTAATCAATCAAGCTTCCTTTTTGTACTTAGTTACTGAACTAGTTAAATAATATGTTGAAATTTTTTTTATTTAATCGATTGAATGGAAGGGATATGACTCAATGTAAACAAATACTAAAAGAATAATAAGTTTTGTCAAAATAATTCTATAAGTTGAGTAAGTCAACTTGACACATACAAGAAATTTAATTAAAAATTAGTATTTTCATTATTTACCAAATCAAAATATCCATCAATATATTTTATAGACCTTAATTTATATTCTGTAAAGAATATCGAAATTAAAAAAAAAACTCTACGTAAGTTATTACAAATTAACAAATAAAAACACATACAAAAATTTTAATTAATATCAAAAATCATTTATTTGTATTTAAAATCTGTCTATCTTTATATCTGTCTGTTTACATATCTAAACCATTAAATGTAACAAAATTTAAAACTACATATATCTTTTAGATAAATAATTACATATATAATAGAGATCAGAAGTATAATAATATTATTCTAAAGAATACATAATTTTAGAAAAAATAACAGAATAATATTCTGAAAAAAATATTTGTTTTATACTTGAAAATAAATATACTTTTTTATATTAATTTATTTTTTTTTTGTTTAATAATAATGAGATATAATAATTTATAAAAAAAACTATATTTAAAAATATAAATATTAGAAATATCTCATTTATTTTTTATTTTTTGGCAATTTATTTTTAAAAAGTTTATCAATTAATTATGAATATTCCATAAAAATAAACATCAAGACTCATTTAAAACAACGAAGCTTATGGTGAAAAAAATTATTATTAATGACAGTTTTACATTATATAAATAAACAATATAGTTACTAAATATTATTTTAAGTGTATGAAATATAAGTGAGCTGGCCAATATTTATATTTCTTTATTCAACGCTACTTCTATGAGATTTTTCTAAAATATGATTAAATAAAATCATTTTCATAGAGAAGATTTATATGAAATAGCGTGAATATTTTGGTAACCCTTTGGAGTTATTTTCTAAACCATTAAAAGAGGTATAACCAACCTATCAAAAATACTAAGCAAATAGTTATCAATTGAATAATAAACAAATATAGCAAACTCTGCTTTAAATTTATTTGATATTATTACAGCTGTTCATTTTAGTACTGTCTTATTGCATTTACAACCTCTGAAATTACTTAAATTAGTTGCTTAAATTCTATAAATGAATAAGAATTTTATAAATATATAAACTAGTTAATAAGCTCATTAATATCATGAATTTAATAAATTTAGTATAGTTCTTAAAATGTCTAAAAAACTTTTTAGATTGAGAATATTAAGCCTCTTTGTAATATTCCATTAAATAGTTTGTTGCATCTAGGCTCAGTTATATTTGAATTAAAATATTACGGATAATTTTATCTAACTGAGCACACATTTTCATTTAATAGATTTTAATAAAAATCTATGAATATTCTTTAATTATTTCTTTGAACTCCTAAGTCAGCAGTTAAATTTTAAAAGTATTAGAAGACTTAATTATTTTAATCTTAGAGACTTTGCATATAGCTTTAATAGTAAGAATTCGAAGGAGAGGAGCCAATAGCTATTAAATATACTTGCTCCATTTATGGAGATTAGTTTTCTATTATTAAAGAGTAAACATCGATTAAAGAAATTCTATCTTACAGAGTAACTTTAGATTCTCTTTCAAAAGGATTGAATTCAATTAAATTTAATATAGGCATAACAAGTAACAGAGCTACAGCAATAATTCCTAAAAAAAATAAAACAAAATTGAATTTTGGGATATTGCTAAATGATGCTATTTGTCTAGTTCGCTTATTTACCTATCTTTGAATATATAGAGGAATTTGATAGTTTAATTTTCTTTCATACTTTTATTCTTCTTCTTGCTAATTCGAATAGAAATTTAAATCCCTTACTTGCTATATTTACTTTCTTTTACTTGTAGATCTTTTATTAGAGTAAGTACTGTTATTCGTTTGCTCCAAAATATTGATTTACTCTATTTTAAAAAGGCCAAGTTCTATTTGCTTTATTTAAAATTCTATTGTTGATGGTTAAAATGTACCAAAGAGTTTCAAAACTTTTTCCTTGTAAATTTAAATAACAATGTAAATAGGTAAAACTGAAAATACTAACAACGTGCTGATAGAAGTAAATAAAATAATTGCAGATATTTACTAGTAATTCATTTTGTTAAATTATTCTGTAGCATAATTTTCTACAATCATCTGTAAATTTTTCATTCTTTATTTGAAACTGACGATGTTTCCCCAAATAAAATCTTCTTACTACTCCTCATAACTAATATAATAAAATGTTATTTCATACAAAAATTACATCAGAGTGTATTATAGACTCTATTCAAAACTAGTGGTTGAATTTTTTTAAACTCTAGCATTATTGTAAAATCCAGCAGAGTAAATTTGAATTTAAAATAAGTTATTTTATAAATCTTTAAGCTAATCACTGCTATCATTATTAAGAACAAGCTTTTATAAACTAGTATTATAATCTTACAAGACCGCTTATTGCTAATAATCCGATTGTTAATTCTCATAATTTTAAAGATCTGGGTCATCTATAATTAAAGATTAACTTCCTCCCAAAACTGATTAGTAGTTATTGAGTGCAACCATATTCATTATATCAATAAAGCAGTAGAGAGCATCATCAATCTTTAGAAA